GGAATCCTCAAAATCACGCGTTAAATCAATTCCCCCTCCGCGCTCCGAGTTTCTCTTTCGCCAATTATTAGAAGGACTAAAGGCAGAGACAATACAAGTACAAGAATAGCCAAGACTCGAGAAGATACACGTACACGGAGATACCGATATGGCTGCCACATGTCTGATAAGGGTTGGCACAACCCCAATAAATAGTAATATTTGGGACAGCTATATCCGCGATTGTCGCACCCACATTGGTATGACAGGTAGTGGAGACAACTAGATGCGTTTTGTGCAGCGAACTTAGTAAATGTTGCGACACAAAACAATGTAGATGCACCTACTGTTTGTACGGCACCATTTTAATTTTAGTTTTCTTGGCCTTAGCCGGTCTTTCCGTGTAATTGAAATTTCAAGAGACTCCGAGGGCCACGTTTATCAGAAACAAATACCAAAAACTTGAGAGTACCCAAGTTTCAAGTTACTTGCGCACACGGTATTGCGGTCACATCCCCGTCCTTTGCGTTTCCACCGCACGGTTCGCGCGCGGCGGTGTACGCGGCAGTGTTCGTTAGCGTCCGGCTGTTGAATATCATGGCTTTTTAGCCTGCAGGTGTCATTAGGGTGCGGACGGACGAACGAACGCTGATTGGTCTCGGCCGATCGCCCTCGGGGACACCGGCCCATCAGCTGTCCCATTCGCGCCAACGATGCCGACGACGAACAGCTCGCACGCCTATACGCGCCTCCATTACTTCCACCTTTGTGGAACCGCTCTCGCGAGCCGCGCGCGCAGCGGCTTTCCCAGACCCCGTACCGGGTTTTATCCCGATAACGCGTGTGAAGGGGCTAATCACTTAGCAGTTTCCCAGACTCCGTTCGCTCTCGCGCGACTTATTAATTAGCACGGCGAGGTGCGCCGCGATTGATTCGATTTTTGTGGCAGGCCACGGCACACTCAGGCGGAATCGAATAAGGCGAAATTGCGCTCGACGGCTACGTCGAGGAACGGAGATTTTCTCTTGCGAAACATGCGAGCGCTGCAACTTGGGGGATTATAAAGTTACGAAAATGTTGCCGGGCTCGCACCCGTCTCTTCCATCGGAGTCTTGTGCGGGACACATTCGTGCTCCATTGACAAAATCTAACGCCTAAATTCTCACGCGTTCGTTACTACTTACGCTTGTTACTATCCAAACGGTAGATGATAAAAATCCGTTATCTAACCGAGGCAACAACGTTTCGCAAGATTCCAACCGCGCGAATAATATATCGTCTCGATCCCCCACCCACTCTCGCCTAAACACTCCCACATATTAATCTTCCATCGTCGGGGCTACGAGCTCTCGTTAGCCGAGGCCGTAGCGCAGCTAGTCCACCCGAAAGAAGTCCTCCCGCCGTGTAAATGGACCTCGTTGGCGAAGACGAGATGAAAGACCGCGCGCAGGTAGAAATCAGCCACGTGAAAGAAGTCAGTCTATGAGGAATCGGGGGAAGAAAAATAAAATAAAAAAAAAACAGAGGGAACAACGAGCGGGCGAAGTGGGAGCGCGGGAGGGCGAGGGAGATCGGCGGTGCTAGGATCGGCGGCTCGCCGCGCCGCGCCGCGCCGCGCCGCGGCGAGGGGGACTCGGCGAGGCCGAGATATCGCATTAACGAGGCCCGCTGATGGGCCGGGGCCTAGATCTACGTCTAATTACATCCGCGCGGCGCGCGGGGAGACTCGTTTCTCGCGTGCTGAAACGGTTCGAATCGAAATTATGGATCTGCGGCGCTCCGCGCGCCGCGCCGGCTTGACTGACGCATGACTGGCTGGCGGGTTAAGCGAGTCAACGAGTAAATGAGTCCGAATTACGTGGGCGTGTCAATGCCGGGAAAATGAGCTCCGCGAGGTATCCTCTGGCGGGCTTATGCAAAACAACGCCGGATAATGTTGCCGCACGCGCTCGCACGATCTTGCCTGGCGATCGGTAGCACGGTTCGTCGACACGTGCGACGATTGCATGTAGCGTTTCGCGTAGAGACAAATTAGCGTAGCGTGAGAGACAGGCTGGGCCTCGTGTTCGAGAAGGCTATTCTCTAGAGTGAATCTTGACTCGCGAGGGGCTTATGTATATTTAGAACGCGGCAGTGTTGCCGTAGAAAATTCTAATATCCGACGATCCCATTTATCATCGATGGGCTGTCGTTCTTGTCACTTTAGATACCTGAACAAGTCGTTAGCTTTAAGTGGAAGGACGATCGCGCTCGCCCCAGAATGATGACTCTTGGCGACCGGAATGATGCGGGCCTTACGATTTTTACACGGATTGATTTATGTCTTTCTTTCCTTTTGTCTTCGCGTCATACGTAATGGCGACGTATAAAACGTCGCTGTTAAAATACACGCCCTTCTGCTAAATTCAAATATGCGAATTAGCGTTTTCGTAATTGCCATATGTGTCGTTTCTCAATATTATGCGCGAAATTGCCGGCGAGGAAACTCGCGGAATTCAATTAAACGAAATGAAGAGAGTTTTTAATCGAACCGACTGGAGGCTCCGTTCGAGAGTCCGCCGGGTAAACGAGGGCAGTTCGCCCGCCGCCGACCGGCCGATAATTACCACGAAATTAATATTTCGATAATCTGATGTGTAATAACATTCATTTCGCGTTCAATCTCTACGTTGAATAAACTCGGTCCCCGGGAACCGCATTAACGAGCGCCGTTTCGTAATGCCATTTAATTACCGAGCGATATATCGGAAATAATTAAGAGCCAGGTGGTGGGAGGCTCTCGCGACATTGAGCGAATCGTAAATTAATTGCCAATATGACGGGAGCAGCGGTGCCGTGTGTGAGCCGCGGGATATCCGTATCGCGATCGCGATAATAAAACTTGTATTAAAGCTGACATATAAGGACGTAAGTATACGGCGTTGGGCCAAATTGTTGCGATTAAACGATAATTCGTTAATGTCGCGCGTTACTCGCGCGATTCCATAGATATGCGTTTAATGCGCTCCGAAGGGCACGAGGGCGAGCAGGGAGAGATACAATGAATGATATCGCACGCTCGCTCCGATCGGAGATCGCCTGAATTATTGGTGTATCCGATATATCGAGAAAATTGGCGGTGGTCATCATCGCCATTATGAATTCTTTATTTGGATGTTGCGGCGTCTGAATTACAGGGCGGTATGGGCTACCTTGCTTACTGCTTCATATAAGGGCCCGTCGGTATCAGCGATGGCTACGAACGTCCGCGCGCTCGTTCAAGTTTGTACGAGAGTCGCGCTACTTTGTCTCGACCTGCGTGTCGCGAAACGATATGTCGCGAGATGGAAGCGTTTCTTTGCACTCGCTTAGTTTCACGCGCCTAAAACCACATCCTTCGGAGCGGCGACTTCGAATACTTTTTCTTCTTTAAACATTAAACAGGTGTTGTTGTTTTTTTATACCCGAGAGTCCGCGAATCATCGAAGCCCTCGCTTTCCGACGATCGCATGTATCGATCTGGCCGACCATAACGAACGCAATAAACAGCCGATTTCTTAAAGTGCCGGATATTTGAGAGAATTTTCGCAGATAGGAATTTATGTACGGTATAAACGCGGAGGAAGCTTGGAAATATTTTTCATGTAAAGTATATAAGGGCCATAAATAGAGCGCGGCTAATCGCATATCAGCGATGAGTCTCGCGATGCATGATATACGAGCAGATAGCTCGACATTACCGACCTGCTTCCTGTTACTTGAATATCTGATGTTAAACGGAACCGTTTGATACGAGGCGTCGTTAATGAGTCTATCATTAACTTGTCGTCATTATCTCTGATATAAAACGCGTGCTACTGCCATCGCAATATATAGATTAATCGAATCTAGAATGTTTATAACGGATGTAAATACGTGTGTTACGCGCGTTAAGTATATGCTGATTATATGCCTCCTCTCGGGTGTATACTTGAGTGCTCCCTCAACATTTCTAATAAGGGCCCGGCGGCTTTTGCAAGTGTCTAACTTGATGAAACTGACGTTCCCGGAACATTCTTTCCGCTATTTATTTTTGCATTGTAAAATTTTCCCCGCCCAATGCCTCTTCTTCGTACTTAAAAACATTTCGAACAACTATAAACTTTAAAAGTGCGATGAAACGACGAGACTTTATTTCTCCACTACAATCTAAAGTGGACTTTGCTTTAATAAGTCAAGTTTTTCGTTAACCTATGAAATTGACGTGTAATGATATTTATTAAATTACCCTTAAAGAAAAATGGATTTTACATAGTAAATTTATAAAAATTGACTGTTATTTTTTTCAATTTATTTCTCGTTCGCTCTAAATAATAAGAGTTTCATATTGTGTAGTTACAATCTCGAATATATTTTGCATGAGAAGATAGAAACGTTCACCGTTCAGAATGTTGTTATATTGCAACATATCTTCAGTATTTCGCGGTTCACAGACTCGAGTTCTAATCTATCGGTAGCAAAAGCGTTCGGTTATGACGAGTGCCAGACTCCGACGGATACAACGAGGAAAAGGCTCGCGAAATGACTTCATCTTAATAAATTACGTCTCTGGGTAAATACTCGCGAATGGCTTCAAAAAGATTCTCGGAAGGGCCGCAACGCGGTATACGCTATTTTTGGAGAATAATTCCTTTTCATCTCTGTGCACTGCGCCTCTGCGGCTCCTTGCATGCCGTGCCTTTTTTACGCGCAGTATTACGCAAAGCGCAATAAAATATAAATCTCCCCTCGTTAAAGCAATTCGCGAAAGAATAACACGATCTTTATGCGAGTTTTCGTTACCCTGTGTCTTCTTCGATCTACCCAATCACATTTTAATAACACGAACGCTTCTTACTTTTACAAACTGTTTACCTTTAAAACATTGAAGCTTGTGAATAATTGCAGTTTGTGAGGTTTTGCCTGCACTGTGTTTAAATAGTACAAGATAATGTGGGAGAATTGAAAGGAAAGATCAGTGGGGCTGAAGAAGTTGAAGAAGTTGGTAGATAGAAACAGTTTCAATAATGTTTCCATTTATTTAGCTTCGCTATACACTGTACTAAGTCGGTTTACACACGCGCTCCTAGCTTTTAGTCTCACGCACCTCACTATCACTTTACGAATCGCCGTATGCAGATATACATTTTACTCGCTCCTAAAATTCACTAATTAAACTCATAATCAGGTATATTGCAGTGTCCCATCTATGCTCTTACGGTTTCTTGTAACTCTAATCATGTATAACGGTCTCTATCATGCCTATACGTAACATTATCAAGGGAACGATGTATACCTATATACAATGTATGTACACAATGGCCACAACGCGTGGGTTATTTATAATTTACGGATTAATATTCATTTAATAATTTATTATCGACCGTTTTAGCCGAGGTCCTCCTCACGAATCCCGTTCCTCTCGCTTTCTCCATTTTGTAATAAATACATTATAATACACCGCGCTCTGCGCGTAAAATTGCAGCGGACTATGATGCGCTTTCCATTTAAAGCCGTAAAATTACGACATAAGAACGTCACGTTTTTTTTTTCAGTTCTAACAAGCACAACGAAAATCCCTTTTGCAAATTTTAAAATGATATTTCCTCCCCCCCTCAGTCATATTTCTCAGAAACTGGACCGTTATAGAATGCTATGGAATATTCTCGCTCGTCGAGAGACTGGATGCAATAATAACTTAAACAGCTTTATAATTTTGAAAAAAAAGAAACTTGAACATTGAATCGTAATAAATTAGTAGACAGATAATGTTTGTACGCAGAAGGTGGTGTTCTTTATCGTAAGACTCTCTTCAGAATTTCTTCGTGAAGAGATTCTGAAGATTAAAATGTATGAAAGAACCGAATCGCGCATAAAAAGAAGACCAAGTGCATTCGTGAGCGCATAAAAACAATTTTCGTACGTGCTTGTTCGAATAATACACTGAAATTATGTATCACGATTCGAGCTTCCCTCTCGGTCCAAAATACTCGATATTACATGAGTAATAACTGTCCGTTGTCCGATTCCCTCCCGTCGAGCCTCAATTGCACACAGAAAGTCGGAAAGGCGATTTCGAGTCGACCTCTACGATTTCTCGTCCATGGAGTTTGGCAATGGTCGTTTCTTCAAGATCCCCAGGTCTTGCACGTTCTCTAGGAAAGTCTTGTGATGTTGAGCGACCAAAATTGGATTCACAGTCTGCACGTCCTTCTTAAGCTCCTCCATGTCCCTCTTGAGCTTGGCCCTCCTGTTTTGGAACCACGTGATCACTTGGGCATTGCTCAGACCCAGCTGAGCGGCGATCTCGTCCCTGTCGGCCGGGCTCAAGTACTTCTGATACAAGAATCTCTTCTCCAGCTCGAAGATCTGCTGATTCGTGAAGGCGGTCCGACTCTTGCGCTTCTTCTTCGGCTGCTGGCGATTGTTGAACAGGTTCAAGTGATTGGCTTGCTCTGCAACACGAGAAATTAGACACGGTTAGTCGTGTTTATATATACCGATTTCAACGCATTGCGCAGCGAATCAATACATCAAATATACACAGGACCAACACAATTAAGTTTTCCTTTTTACAATTGCAATCGGTCTGTGACTTCAAGGTATTTTCAATATCTTCAATGAACACATCCTTGCCGTTCGAACATATCGTTACTCTCGATTACGTCAAACTTTAATACGAAAATTCAACTGTTTAAGTAACACGCTAGTTAATTTATTCCACGCTTCTCAAATGTGCACATACAGTCAACCTTGAAATCCGCGAAGGATGTAAAAGTGTTCCAAGGAGCAAGCGTGATGATCGACAAAAATAATGAAAGGGTTCGTTTTACGACCAAGTAAAATGTTATCGGTGATCCATACGGTTTCTCACGGAAAGATCTGAAAGTGATTCTGCCTTCGTGGTAGCGCCGCGCCGCGCCGCGCACCGGTTATCGCGCGCGCGGATAATGAATGAGCGGAGGCGCGGGTATTGCGCAAATGAATCGTCGATTCAGCGGCAATTAAATCCTGCCGATAACGAGACCGTCGGGTCCCGACGAGCCGTGTCTCTCGGGAACGCAATGCGATAATTAGCTACCGATACGAATAGGTGTATTAAGATTTTATCGCTGACGTTGTCTGAGTAATCGTTCGCGAAGCTACACGGCGGAAAGAATTCTCCGTGAAAACGCGTTAGGCGTAAAATACGACGCGTTCGCGCGGGAGAGAAAAAAAAGGAAGGATATTGGGAAATTAAGCGAATGCTTAGCCGCGCCGCGTGTTTTATCGTTTTCGCCACTTACTTAACGTGCGTTATGCGCTGTTAATCCCTCATGGGAATAAGGCGAGAGATAGACACGCGATAAGAAGAATATATATGGCAGCGGATTGATCCAACGTTTACGCGTTGAGTTTCTCTATATATTGTATAAATTTATGTAGGCGTCGATAAATATTGGATATATATATACGTTATGTGGTGCACACAATCGGGACAAGATAATTACCAATTGATTTCACCCGATTGCCAAATACATGCCGGCCAGAGATTGAGGGCAGCTGCGTAGCAAATGACTGTGCGTTATGGGAACAGTTTTGCAGCAAATTTAATGTTTATACCTTTTCCATCAATCTAGTATTTATTGTTTAGACACATAAAATTTTTTAAGCGGTTGAAGTAAGTCTCTAATACGGCTGGTTCGGTCTTGGTCTATTTCAATTTCCCGAAAAGGATGTTCTTCCGTAATAAACGACTTTTGAGGTACTATTTATATATGCGAATGCGCGATGCGTACGTACAATGATGGAAATTTCACAATGCCGTAGCGATGGGGACATGCAAAGCGAATCGAAGCGTTTTTTCACGCGACTGCCGTCGGAATTGTGTTTCACGGAATCGTCTCCGAGGGCTACAAATTAAATATATTTTCGAGACATGGAAGGGTTCCCCCCCATAAAAGTATTACGCATTCGTTACGGTGCTCAGTCCACGAAATTCCGAGAGCCATAACTATCGTAGTTCCCGGTTGCTAGCTAAGGCTGTAAGTTCAAAATGTTTCTACCAGACGTTCGCCTTTAGCCCCAGAGCGATTTGTAGTTATAGCAGATCAGGTATGCACGGATATATATCAATATAAATTATCTTACATTTTGCGATATTACTACTACATTAATACTTCACATGCGCTCCGAATAGAATATAACGCATTCTATTAATATATATATAAGGCGTGTAATGGAAAAATATTAACAAAAACGCATACTGAATCTACAATATTTTAACGATTTAAAACTAAAAACTGCTTAGTTATTTTCGTTAAATTATTTACTTGAATTTTTAATTTAGAATTTTAATTTAGAGTCAGCTAGAAAGTATATATATAAATCGTTTAAATATTGTAGATTCAGTATGCGTTTTTGTTAATATTTTTCCATTACACGCCTTTTTTTATATCGAAATACTTTCCGGGAGATTGGATTCTGCCGCTTTAAAAAGTTCTTAAAAAATTTCCGCCGCATCTTATCGAACTCGTTGCAAACGCGGCAATTTTCTTAAAAATCAGCTTGTTATTATAAATTAATTGCCGGTTTAAAGAGTAGGCAATTAAAGCAATCTTCTGTGCCCTATCTTATCGGATGCTGTTACATGAAGGTGAACACCGCAACCTAATTTTTAACAAGATTGGAGCACGTGAAGTCGTACGGTTTATCTGAATATCTAATAATTGATCTATGATCGATCTACGATCGATCGCTTTCGATTAGATGGTGGAAAATCTATCCGGTGTGCGAGGCATGACAAGAAAATTGCCGTATCGACTCCATCGGCTAATCGCCTCCTCGCGAAGTAGCCTAAAAATAATCACCGCTCGCCGTCGTGTCCTATTAGCTGATGCCGCGTAATACCGGTTCCCGTTTTATAATTTTCGTTATGCTCGCGCTGGTCCTCGGGACGAAGGAAATATTGTCAATTAACATCGTTATCCAATAACCAGAGCGACCCCGTGCATGTTTAACGTCGCGTAATGTTTACCGGGCAATATACGCGATGGCCGTTTTCGCAATGGCGTTAGCCATTAGGAAATAATCGAATCGAATGATGAGAGAGAGAGAGAGAGGGGGGGAGGAAGGGAGGCGGGCGCGATGAGTCGTGGACAAAGTAGCCGAGGAGTCGCTCCAGGATCAAAGGCCGCCGCCATCGGTCACACCTGCGCAACCCGACCGTACAGTCCACTTTAAAAACTCTCGCCGACTGGCACGAGCGATGTCATGCGCATATAAGGTGACCGGATGTCTTGTTTTCGGGGGGACAGTCCGCCTTTATTTGAAAGAATGGTACACGCTCTTACACTCGTCCTAATCATTTTATTGCGCTAATTGGGCATGAAAGTACAAGACGCGCTTGGCGTTGAGCGCAATACAGTGTACAACCCGAAAATACAGTGTAACATGTGTTTCGTTCAATCCACAACATGCCCCGCTTCTCTAATAGCCGGCGTTTAGAGTTAACCGTTAGTCTAAACGTCTCGGAATCCTGACACTTGCCGAGGAAATTGCCAACGTTAATTACGGAGATATTGTATCTGTAGTTCTTCATTATACTCTGTCAAACATAATCTTAATTGCGTTTGTACTGAAAACGTTGGATTGGATTGAAGGTAGTCGTTAGTAGTAAAGAAAGAAAAATGCAATCAATTCTATGCGCGAGTAGCAAATAGATTGAATAACATACGTTGAATGTCCAGAATATTCTACTTGCGAATGTATTAATTTAGCTTTATTTACGACTGAAATCAATATTGCATAGGTGGAAATATTAATAATCCACGCGCGCGTACGGGAGAAAATTAATTTCCGATTTATAGACTTCAGGAAAATAATTAAAGAGGAGACTATCAGACACTTTCAATGAAGGCGAACCTTTAGCGAAAGGCATATTGATTCGATTACACGTACGCACTGCAACTCAACATGTACATAGAGGAAAATAGAAGAAAGAGAAACTTATTATAAAAAATTAAAAGTTTAGAATCATGCAATATGCATTTTTCATGTGATAATTATCTAAATTGCGATGTTGTATCAATTAATTTTAATTTTGTATTACTCTATATTAACTGTAATTTTATATTAATCGTGACAGAGGGAGAAAAACGGGGAGGGGGATTAATTTAATTAATTATACGTTCCTCGACCTCCATTTCTCATTTACCTCAGATATTCTCCTCGAGCCTAATGATTATTTTTAGTCTTCTAAAAGCAGCCACGTCCGAAAATGCATTGACAAATGAAATCGAAGACAAAGCGAACGAGAATGTTGCACGACAAAGTTGTTGAGACACGACGACGAAACGGTAAACGAACGGACGAATGGACGGACGGAAGAAGCGTCGAGATATTAGTTTCTGCGGTCGGTTCTCCGCAGAGATTTAATTCGTTTGATGTTCACGATTCGCCGCTTCGGCTGTCTTTTCGCAACTCGCGTCTTCTCCTTCCTCTTTTCCCCTCAACTTTCCAAGCAGTTTTAAGAATCGCCAATGCTCTTCCTTTTCCGAAAAATTTTCTTGTCGATCCTCTTGTCGATAAACATTCTGGTTTCTACAAATTTATGCTTTAAAAAATTCGAATATTATTTACAAGTTATTATTTATTATTAGCGAATTAATGAAAATTACTTATTATTGGTTTTACAAGAAGAGTAAAACACGTCGGCTAAGATACATCTATCGAATATATGTTAGTGCGGAATTTTAATCGGATTAGTTGAAATTCTTTCGAAATTACAAGCGATCCAATTCTCTAAAGCGATATATGTAGGTACGCATTGAAGAATTGTACAGAAAGAAATTCCTGATAAAGGGCAGCCGACGCGACCACCTGCCGTGCGTAAACCATATCCATGTATGACATCTACTAGGGTCACAGATGGCGGCGAAATTCGCTTGATTAATGTGCTGACTTGGCCGAAAATTTGGTTTAATTACGCGAGCCGGTATACTTTCGTATATCTGTGCATTATCTTTATCCGAACATGTTTAACAAACCGCTCTCATAATGAATCGCAATAATTAATAACAGATTGATCCTTTTATTACCGAAGTGACGTGTACTCGGTAAAAAAAATATCAATTTTAGAAAGTGGGTTATGTACTGCCGTAAACTACATCATGTGTGGAGCATTTTTTTACGCAAAATTCACGTTCTTTATGATTTTTGGTCTTATAGACACAGCAAAAAACTTACAGCAGAGAGATTTCGTTGTAGAATTTTATTACATTTTTTTAAATATAATTCTGACCATTTTTACTTACAATTAGATACGTAGTAGGCACAGTCAAATAATTAATAATCTCGAAGCTTGAAGGAACACGAGTTCTACATCCAGACTTTTCGTAATCTGGACTAATCGTGGAAAATGCAGTCATAAATACAGAGATAGTAATTTTTCAAAAACAATGTTGCAATATTGTCG